AGGTTGTACTGAAACAACCACTTGTTTACATGAAGGCTGGGATTGGGCAAGGCTGGGTTAAGCTGCTGGATCTGCTGGTGAGACTGGGACTGGGAGCAGGCTGGGCTGAGCCAGGTTTAGCACCAGTTGGCAAATGATAGGATTGGGATGGAACATCTTAGACTGGACTGCAGCAACCACTGGTACATGCAATACTCAGGACTGCGAGTGTGCCTAGTAGGGGAACTTTGGGATTCCCTTGCTGGGCTGTTGCTTCTGCTGGTGAGTGTGAGAGCTAACACTGGGGTTGAGCCAGACTGGGCTAGCCTATTGCACCAACTGACCTACAGTTAGAATGGCTGTGGGCCAACCAGGCTAAGTCATAGCAAAATCTGGCAAGTGCCAGGATGGTATGTTAGTCCTGGCATGTGCAGGCACTGGGGCTGGGAACATTCCTGGTAGAAAAACTGTGGGCACTCTCTTGCTAGGCTGTATCTCCTGCTGGTGAGCACAAGAACCAAGCTGAGAGCAACAGGTCAAGCATATATGATGGTTGAGTCTGGGAGTGAGACAGACTCTGCTAAGTTATAGCACTCATGGGTGTGGATGATTGTGGGCTGGGTCAGACTAAGCTGCAGCAGAGGCTGGCATGCACAAAAATGGGGCTGGGAGTGGGCCTGGCAGGGGCTATTGCAAGTCACCCTGACTAGGCCATGGGATCTGCTGGTATGTGTGAGAACTGGGTCTGTGGTGCATCTCCTGGTATGTGCATTGTCTAGTGCAGGTGACAGACCACACCTGGCTTTGCACTGGCTGGTGCACATGAGAGTTGAGTCTGGGGTTGCCCCAGGTAAAGTTTTGTAGGGGACTGCCCAACTAGACTGCTGGATTCAGACCCCAGCCACCCCAGAAAATCACAGGATGTACAATCTGACCTTGGAGTGCATGTAATGGGACTGGAAATAATTGGATGGGTTTATGTGAAGTAGTATGATGGTGGTGATAAAAGTAAGGTAAAAGAGGGTCAACTGGCATCATAATAAGAATGTAAGATGAAAGGTAATTTCTAAAAGAATTGAGTTTGATGTTAAATGTTAAGGGGTATGGGTATATAGTTGGTTTTTGGTTGGATATTAGATTGTGAATGGGGGATAAGGGAGAAAAGAGAGAATGGTTGAGGTTGTTGGGTATATGGGTTTATTTTTGTGTGGTGTTGTGGTGGATGGGGGGGGATTGATATATATGATTTATAGTGTGGTTATTGTTAAGGGGGGAAGTGAATTTTGTGAGTTGTGTGGTGGTTGGGGAGTTGTGTTAGGGTTGTGTTGTTGTTTGGTGGAGTTGGTAATGTGGGTGATGGATTTGATGATTTTGGGATAATGATTTAGATGTTGTGTTATATGAGTGGTATTTGGTTTTGTTTTTTTTGTATTGGGGTAATTAGTGTTTGTTTTGTTTTTATTTGGGTTTGTCTTATTATGAGGTGTAAATTTTTTATGTTGAGGGGTTTGTTTTTTTTGTTGTTAAGTTTTTTAAAATTCTTTGTATTATTTTTTAAAGAAACGGTGAGATAATAGAATTTAAATAGGAACACACAATATATAAATATAAGGGGGGCATGGTATGGTTGCCTCATTTTACGGATGAGAAGACTGAGGATTACATTTGTCATGTGCAGTTCATTGACTGAGAACCAGTTAGCCCTTCTCACCTGACCTTTGGTGTTGCCTTCAGAACAAAAGGTTCTGTGTTCAGCCCTAAGTGTGACTGTAACAAGACTCCCCAGGTAGCGAGATCAAATGTGGATAGCAGTGTCTTTGCTGCAGGCCAAGTGCGAGAACAGACATACAGTCGTCCCTGGTGCTGGGCAGCGGGAGAGCGGCCTGGGCTGGCAGTGGTTTCTGTTTGCAGCTGATTCTGTTTTGTCTCTTGAGAGTGCAAATGACCTGTCTCTCTGTCCTACCAGTGGCAGGGCAAGGGTTGGAGCTCCGAGTCCCCATTTCCATGTCACTAGGCTGCTTCTGTCCTAGGTGTCTTCTTGATTTGCATTGTGTCTTGTTGTTGTGTCCCGGGCCTTCATGGTCTTCATCATGCAACTCCCCTTACCCCAGATGCCAGGATGGATTCATGGAGCATTGGGGTGCAATCCACGCAGCTGTAAGCTTTATTACCAGTGGTTTCTTGTGTCTCTGCTCCTTCTGCCTGGAGACCTGGGGCTGGAACACACACCGACCTATAGAATTCTTTCCAGCCTTTTAATTTTAAGTCTAGAGAGGCTGAATGACCCCTCCACCCTACAGTTTGCCCTCTAGTGTGTGAAAATGGGAATTATTTCGTTTAGACCTGAAGCAAGCTGACACCTTTCCCCATAGCAGTAGTTCTTCTTCTTCTTCTTTTCTCTTTTTCTTTCAAACTCTGGGTCATGCCCAACTAGAGAATTGTAAAATCAATTTAGAGGAGCTGACTTGTGTAAAAAAAAAAGGTTAAATAAAATAGGCTACAAAGCATAATTATAGTAGCAGAGTGCTGTTCTGTAAAATATTTTCTCAGTTGTGTGTTGTACATGCATGCATGAGTTTGTTACAAGTTTGTACTGGATCACAACGTAAAATGTGTATCTTACTAGAGGGTGAATAGACGGGGTTCTCAACTTGCAGGTAATGGTTGCAGTTTGGCAAAATCCATCAAGCAAAATACACCAAAGTTGTATATGAATCTCTGGAAGGAGAGGCCGGTGTGTGTGTTTTAAATTCAGTGAATTCTAACATATCTTTTTTTCTTCCCAGTAGAAACACACAAGCACACACATATTATTTATATGAAAAATCATATTCTACTCATCTGCATGACACTCTCTTGTCCTCAGAGGGTGGGTACCCAGTGCATGTAATTGCAAAACAGAGCAAAGTTTTGAAAGTCAAAAGTAGGATCCAAGTAGTTTTGCTTCACTATACATGGGATACATTTGGCATTGATAAGTGCCACTTGATGTGGTTGTAATGCCTTATGGAAACAAACCAAAAAATACCATCCTAAGTAGCTGAATGAGTAAAATACACAGGTGTCATAAATAGAAAATTGGGCCGGGCTTCCCCACAACAGAATAAAGCTCTCTTTCCCCCTGAGTGCACTTGAACAAACCAATCCAAGCTGGGAGACCTCAGAGAAGGAGTGGCTGTCACCTCCCTAAGTAACAGAGCCTATCTCCTCTTAACCTTCGTGACCCTCAAAACCCAGAAAATTCCTTCTTTTATCTATCCTAAATCCTTTCTATTACCCTGTAAGCCAATTTTCTGTTGTACTGTCTTCAGTGGGAATTGGAAACAGCTGGCCACCATCTGCTGTAGATTAATTCTTCATGTACTTGAAGCCTATAATTAGGTCATTCCCCAGCCTTTTCTTCTCCAGGCGAAATATCTTATTTCCTTTAGCCCTTCCCAGAAGGTTTTATTTTCCAATTATTTAATTGTCTTCATGATCTTACCCTCAACACCAAGCCCTCTGCTCTTCACACACCTCAAGTTGGGGAGGCTGATCAGTACCAGGGGCGGGGGTGGGGGCAGGAGAGAGTTACTCCAGGTCATCACTGCTGCTTTTAGGGCATCCTTTCTCTGTGAATTGTTCATTTCCAGAGGGTCATTAAGAAATGAACAGCAGCCTTCAAATGAGCAAGTCTCCCTCAACCCGAAACGGGAAACAGAAGAGCAGATTGTATACTTTGCTTCTGCTCTGATTGGGGATAGGCTGGGTAATAGCCTTGACTTTGGACCCCCACGCTCATGAGTTGGGCATTGTAAATCGACAGGGAGTAATTTTTCCTCCCAATTATAGATGAATAGTGAGAGCAGCATTTTGAAAATAGATGGATTTTTAAAACTTGGTCAAGCTCAGGAAACAAGCATGTGCTCGGTAGAAGCATTTTTCCAAGTCCTGGGGCGTCCCTGTTGGAGCAATGCACTCGGGGAGGAAGCAAGCCCAAGACGCATTCGCTAAGGCAGCTTCGATGACGTGGCCCCAACCACAGCGCCAACAGGGCCACCAAAGAATGAAGCTGAAGATGTAAGTTAATCAGGTGAAAAAATAGCCGAATCCATGCATACACAAGGGACTTCATAAAACAGATATTGAAAAGTACACATTATGAAAAATTCTGCAGAGATTTCACATTTTGCACCAGAAGTCATTTTAAAATTGCATTGTCTTTTTAAAAAACGATTTATTTGGCGGATTTACAGAGAGGTGAGACAGGGGCCTTCCATCTGCTGGTTCACTACCCAAATGGACACAATGGGTGAAGCTGAGCCAATAACAATCTGGTAAATTGGGGTTTCCTCTGGGTCTCCCACATGCGTGCAGGGCTCAGGTACTGGAGGCCTCCTCTCTGCTTTCCCAGGTCATTAGCAGGGGGGCTGAATCAGAAGTGAAGCAGCCAGGACACAAATCTTTATCCATGTGGGATAAAAATGCATGTGGGATTAGTGTACCATGCCACTATGCTAGCCCTAAATGATATTTTCTGCATTTAAAAATGCCCATATAAGCACAACAGACTCTGTAGTATCCATTTTTTTGTTTGTTTTTTGTTTTGTTTTTAGTATCCAGATTTTAATAAAAAAATCTTTCATAGGTATATATGTATATATACATGATTTATTTTTATTGGACAGTCAGATATATAGAGGAGGAAAGGCAGAGGGGAATATCTTCCATTTGTTGATTCATTCCACAAAGGGCCACAACAGCTGGAACTGTGCCAATCCGAAGCCAGGAGCCAGGAACCTCTTCCAGGTCTCACACACGGGGTTAGGGTCTCAAAGCTTTGGGCCATCCTCGACTGCTTTCCCAGGCCACAAGCAGGGAGCTGGATGGGAGGCGGGGCTTCCGGGATTAGAACCGGTACCCTTATGGGATCCTGGCACGTACAAAGTGAGGACTTCAGCTGCTAGGCTACTGTGTCAGGTCCCATAGATAAATATATTTTTAAGGTGATTAAAATTATATATATATATATATTTTTTTTCTCAGTATATTGTTTTTATTGAGTGCCATACATGACCAGGGGCAGGGCCTATGGGTGGGGCAGGGCAGCAATGACAGCCTCAGTGAAGTCGTGGCAGGTGGCATAGCCACCCATGTCAGAGGTGCGAACCTGTGGGTGAGAATTACCATCATCCTGTAGACTGGGCCCTGTCCCTAACAGCCCTCCACGAGCAACACTGTTCCCTAAGGAGCCAGCCCCAGGACGACCTGGGCTCTGCCCAGAGGCGAGTATGGTCCACTGCACACAAGGGGTGTATGGTCCCGGTGAGGTTGGGAGGACTAAGGGGCTCTAGCCACCATGGGGGTGCAGATGGCCGATGACAGACTTGATGAAGTCGGTTGTGGTGCTGTAGCCGCCCATGTCTCGAGTCCGCACCTTGCCAGCTTTGATCACCTTCTTCATGGCTTCTGCAATCATGCTGGAGTGATGTTCGAGATTGAGATGCCGCAGCATGTTGGAAGCTGACAGCAGCATGGCTGTGGGGTGGGCGATATTCCTGCCCACTGCCTGGGCAAACCGGTGCCGGACTCCCGTCTCAAACACAGCATACTCAGCACTGTAGCTCTCTCCAGGGACCACACCAGCTCCCCCGACCAGGCCAGCAGCCAGGTTATCGATAATGTTCCCATAGAGATTGGGCATCACAAGGACATCAAACTGGTAAGGGTTCTGCACCAGCTGCATGCAGCAGTTGTCTATGATCATTGTCTCAAACTTGATTTTGGGGTACAGTTCGGCAACTTCCTCACAGCACTGCAGGAACAGCCCATCCCCAAGCTTCATGATGTTGGCCTTATGGACAGCTGTGACCTTGTTCCGCCCCTTCTTGGTGGCATAGTCAAAGGCAAACTTCGCAATGCGCTGAGACTTGGTTCGAGCGACAATCTTCAGGCACTCAATCACGCCCCTGGCACTCTCATGTTCCAGGGAGCTATACTCCCCTTCTGTCTGTTCTCAAATGATCACCAGGTCTAGGTTGTTGTGCCGAGTCTTGTAGCCAGGAAGCGACTTCACGTGGACCACATTGGCAAACAAGTCCAACTTCCGCCTCAGCCGCATTTCATAGGAGGCTAGTTCTCCTTTATACTCCATCGGACTATGGATCTTTCCGATAATGGCCACCTTGTTCTCCTTCATGGAGCTCAGCACCTGCTCCAGCTTCTCCTCCGAGGCCATATTCTGCACCTCGCTCAGGTGATGCTCCTGGAATTCCACTGGGACAGCCGCAGCCTTGAACACCTCCTTGACGGCGTGCATCAGCTCAGGCCCCACGCCATCGCCCGGCAGCATGGTCACCGGAAACGCCCCCTCCACCCTCACATCGTTGGCCTGGCTCGCCGAGGCAGCGCGCCGCCGCCGAGGTACTCAAGCTTCTCCATGCGCCAGGGCTGCGGGCGGCGACCAGCACTCGGGTCAGCCAGCGGACACCGCTCAGCGCCACCATGTCCTCCGCGGGAAGTCGCGCCGGAAGTGACGCGGCAAGCGTGCAGTGCCCCCGCAGAGCTGACGTCTTGCTCTGTCGCAGCCCGGGGCTCCGTGGGCACTGCCCGATCCTCCTCCTCTTCCTCCTCTTCCTCGTGTTTTTCCTGACGGGAAGATCTTGGATGTTTCAACATGTTGTCTCTTACGTCATTTTCTGGAACAATATTGTTACAGGATTTTTGACTCCGAGTATGGCAGCAACCTCAAATTCTTGTCTCGCAAGAAAGAAGAATTTTCGTGCGGACACAGTTTAATTTTAATGCAAGATTTATTAGAAAAGCTGAGAAGAGAAGACTCCCGTCCTAGCGACGGGAGGGGGTTTTGAGATAGAAAGGAGCCCTACCCCCTGCCATAGTGGCAGGAGGAAAAGAACCCCAGTGCTCTGCCATAGTGGCAGGAGGACAAGAAGTTGAACCCTCTGCCATAGTGGCAGGAAGAGAAGAAGAACCCCTAAAATTATATATTTTAACCTCTGCTCTGTGGTTTGAAGCTACTGGAGGTTTCTTTCTCCTTTTAAATGCTTATTTATTTACTTTGTATATTTGGCTCACAGAGACAGAGAGACAAATGAGAGAGATCTGGTTCATCACTGGTTCACTCCCCGAATGCCTGCGATAACTTGGGCTGGGCCAAGCTGAAGCAAGGAGCCAGGAAGTCACTGTGGGTTATCCATGTGGCTGGCAGGGATTTACCAACTTGAGCCATCACTGCCACCTCCCAAGTCTGTATTAGCAAGATGCTGGGGTTAGGAGTTGGAGTTGGGTAGCAAAGTCAGGCATTCAGACTGTGGGGCGCTAGCAACTTAAATAGTAACTTAACAGCAGCTAAACAGCCACTCCTGTGCCGGAGTTTTTGGTAAGACTTATTCATTTTTTTAAAAAAGATTTATTTATTTATTGGAAAGTCAGATATACAGAGAGGAGGAGAGACAGAGAGGAAGATCTTCCATCCGATGATTCACTCCCCAAGTGACTCAACGGCCGATGCTATGCTGATCCAAAGCCAGGATCCAGGAACTTCTTCTGGGTATCCCACGTGGGTGCAGGGTCCCAAGGATTTGGGCTGTCCTCGACTGCCTTCCCAGGCCACAAGCAGGGAGCTGGATGGGAAGTGGAGCTGCCGGGATTAGAACCGGTGCCCATATGGGATCCCGGCGCGTTCAAGGCGAGGACTTTAGCCACTAGGCCACGCCGCCAGGCCCTCATTTTTTGTTAATGTCCCTTTTATCACTGTTATTGCTACTGCCCACTAATAACGAGGATCTAGTCCTTATTGTGCTTTCATTAGTGCCTTGGGACACATGCTGGCAGTTATTCCTACATGAAGATGCTGGGCACTGTTTTTCACCACCCTAGCATCACATTGATACCTTTGCTATATGTTCGTTAACTTCATATGGAGGAAGGTTTGCTATCTTCCACCGCCCCCCCCCCATGATGGACTGTACTCAAGCAGATGCATAATGAAAATTTAGTGGAAATTAATATGTTCATAGGTAGAAACAGAGAAATAAGTCCCCATGTATGCACTACAAGGATGAACTCAGAACGAAATGACTGATAATCTCCTACATTGTTGGGAGACACCTCAGTGGCAGCATGATGCACTTGTGAAAATTCTCAAAAGACACCCATGGTAAGACTGGAGGGGAGGGCCCGGCATGTTGGCGTAGTGGTTAAAGTCCTCACCTTGCACGCACCAGGATCCCATATGGTCACTGGTTCTAATCCCGGTGGCCCTGCTTCCCATCCAGCTCCCTGCTTGTGGCCTCGGAAGGCAGTCAAGGACAGCCCAAAGCTTTGGGACCCTGCACCAGCGTGGGAAATCTGGAAGAGGTGCAGCACTGTCTGTTGCGGTCACTTGTGGAGTGAATCATCAGACAGAGGATCTTCCTCTCTGTCACTCCTCTCTGTATATCTTCCTTTCCAGTAAAAATACATAAATCTTAAAAAAAAAAAAAAAAGACCGGAGGGGAGAACTGAAGGGACGGGGGAGCTTGGGGAAGAGGAAGGGAGACCTAGTGCCACTATTAAACTGTATCATAAAATAATAAATAAAAAACAAAACAAGATTTATTCATTTTTATTTGAAAGCAGATCAGATTAATGGAGAGAAGGAGAGAAAGATTTTTCCATCCACTGGTTCACTTTCCAAATGGTTTCAATGGCTGGAGCTGAGCTGACTGGAAGCCAGAAGCTAGGAGCTTGATCCAAATCTCCCACATGTGTGCAGGGCCCCAAGGCTTTGGGCCATTCTCTGCTGCATTCCCAGACCATAAGCAAGGAGTTAGATGGGAAGTGGAGCAGCCGGGACACAACCAGTGTCCATATAGGTAGGATTCTAGCACTTGAAGGGAGAAGATTAGCCAGTTGAATCTTCATGCCAGGCCCCTGTGCTGGAATTTTAGAGCATGACCTTTTGGTTTCTTAGAAAAAATTACTTTGGTTATTTTTTTTTAAAATGATCCTCATGGGGCCAATCTTGTGGCATAGAAGGTAAAGCTGCTGGCAGCCTGGCATCCAACGTAGGGGTTGGTTTGTGTCTTAGTTGCTTCACTTCCACTCCAGCTCGCTGTTAAAAACCTGGGATAAAGCAGCAGAAGATTGCCTGAGTGCTTGGTCCTCTGCTGTCCAGAGAAAGCTTCTATCTCCTAGTTTCAGCCTGGCCGAGGGTTAGCCATTTTGGCTATGTGGGGAGTGAACCAGTGGATGGAACATCTCTTTCAAAAACAATCAATAATTTTTTTTTAAAAAAACGTCTTCAACCTTATTCAGAAATGATGACCAAACTATATGATATTTTTTGCCTTATCCTATTCCATGTCTCCTTTGCTTTAACTTAATGTGCACAATCTCTTCTAGAGGTGCATATATCACCTTCCTTTTTACAGATGATGCAGATGCAGAGAAGTTTAAAAAAATGAAAATGTGCTCAAGTTATTTGCATGGTAGACCTGGGATTTGGATGTAGAGCTGGTTGGTTTCCCTACTGTCAGTGAAAGTACTTGCACATGCTTCTTACACACACACACACACACACACACACACACACACGCACACGCACACACACATCCCTACACCCCATTCCAGAACCTGATTTAGGAGGCAGGGCTCAGGAACTGCACATTCAGTCAAATTTCTCAGCAATACCAACACAGGCAACCTAAGTTCTCTGCACTGGAAAACAGCATTTTGGAAGAATGCAAGATGGCAGAATTGGGTGAGGACATGTCAAAATGAATGGACAAATATTAGCCAAGGAGAAGCAGAGAGAGTGTGATCCCGGGAAATAGGTGAGGACAAAATGACAGCAGAGGGATGTCTGGAGACCCATGAACCCCAGGAAGCAACAGAGAAAGCAGAGTGGCGCTGCAGTGAATAGATTCCCCAGTGGTGATTGGAGCTCCACCAGCAGCTGGTGGAAGGGGAGATCACCAGGATTTCAGGAGGTGAACCTAGCCATAGAACTGTGGATGCTGCTGATTTTTTTTTCTTTTTTCATTTCTTTTTTTATTTTTGACAATCTTTACATAGTTAATTAAGGCACAAAGGTTCAAGGGCTACAGGAAAGTGGGTAAGACTATTATTTTCCACATTGGTTGTTGTTTTTTTTTTTTTTTCTGTATCTGAGGTAAAAGGGGAGATAAAGGGAGAAGCCCCACCGGGCCTCCCACCCATCCCAGGTCCTTGATGTGGGGCATGCTCCGAGGGTCTTGCTCAGGTGGTTTTGATAATTCAACAGTTCTGAATTGTTGCCAATCTCATCACTCCAAGCACAATGAAGTTGCTGCAGAATCCACTGATTGACATAGTCCACCTTAGAGTCTCCATTTGCCCAGTTTTTCACTGCCAACACATGGCTGGGGTGATTTTTTTTTAAATCTCCAAAAAATATGTCCTACTTAATGAAAAAGGTGGAACAGTGGACACAGGCCCTGTTGTAAAAGGGGAATATGGCAGCACATTTGGTGCTCTAGCAGAACAGAACTAATTGGACAACCACCCCAAATAAATGATGACAGCAAAAACTATTAGTGAATGGAGGCAATGGACACTGCGGGGAGGGATGAAATTGGCAGCATTCCAGAACTATCCAAACGACTTGGACAGAACCCTTGGAATATGTACACACTGAGACTATGGGTTGATATGAGGTGGTGGTTCCTCGTCCCTGTGTACTGGGACCTGTGCAAAGTCATAAGTGGTTTCTCCCTTTGTCTTTCCCCCTCCCCCTTGAAACAACAATAAGAAACAGCAAATTTGGAAGCAAGGAGTACACCCAATTTTCCCTAAAGCTCAATCCTTTCCACCCTCATCCACCATGTAATCATTATAAAGGATAAAAAATATATAAAACAAAAAAGAAAAAAAAAAAGAAAAAAAATCCTGATCATGAGCAGAAGCAGTATGGCAGAACCCTAGTGTTTCAGTGTGGGAACAGGGTGGATTTCACAGCATAGAATCCCAGCAGAGCCACATTGGGTGCCATTTTGACTGTCCGTGGCAAAGGCTCTCGGGAGGACAGCAGTGAACTGAGCTTGTATTGAGTTAGGCAAGAATTTAATTCTGGCTTAAGGCATTGCACTGGTTCCAGAACCTTTCACCTGACAGATGCAAAATACACCCCCCCCACCACATTAATACATGGAACTTTCTCCAGGGTTGATCACATTATAGAACACAAAACAAGCCTCAGCAAATTAATAAAAAAAAAAATCCAAAAGATACCATGCATCCTCTCAGACCATTATGGAGTGAAACCAGAGACCCACAAGTCCAAATACCCCAGAAGATATGCAAATACTTGGAGACTGAACAATATGATGCTAAATGGACAATGGATTATAGAAGAAACGAAAGAGGAAATAAAAATGCTCTAAATAAATGAAGGCATCAATACAACATATCAAAAACTGTGGGACACAGTCAAGTCAGTGTTAAGAGAAAGCTCATTCCAATTAAT